TTTTGTGTGAATTACTTATTCCTATTTTTGGCTAATTTTATAGGTTTATCTACTTACTTGTTATAAATTCATAGGAGTCCTTCACGTATTCTGTGTACCGATATATTCTGTGTAGGTATTGCAGGTATCTTCTCCCAGTCTTGGTGAATTTTGATAAGGAAAAGTCCTTAATTTTAATGTAGTTTAATCTACCAAGATTTTCTGCTTTATGTTTAGCGCTTTTTTGGATCCTATTAAAGTCCTTGCTGACCAAAGGAAATTTAAAATGCAGTCAACTGATTTAACTTTTTTCTACAAATCTTTTAAATATCCATTATTACTTGGGCAGAATATTTTAGGCTACTGTAAAGAATATCAGTTTCCCCAAGAGTATAATTTATGTATCACTTGTCTCCTTTCATTCACAAAAATATCCACAAAATATCAATTCAAGTCTCATATAACTCCACTCCATAAGGCCTTTTTTGTTCCTTCTTATCACACCCAGAAATTCTCTTGAGTATATTTCTTACCTCATTTATTTCTAATCACCCTGTCTTCTATTTTCGGAGATAACAGAGCCTGTTAGATGTGGATTCCTCTAAAACTTTCTGTCCTCCACTCTGAACTCACAGGATATGTCCTCATCTGTCTTCACTGCCCCCATCTCTCCTTTCAGTGGAAGATATGGAAGATATTTCATCATCCATTATTTTACCTCTGTTGGGTATCATTCCTCTTCCTCCTTCAGAAATATCGTTCTTTGAATTATCCCCTTTCCTGAATCTTTAGTGGCTCTCCCTCTGCTCAGTACATCGACAGTGTGTTATCCCAATTTAGAAAACAAAACAAAATGCTTATTTTCTAACTCCTATCAGTTATCCCATCTTAATCCTTCCTTGAAAAACAAATGTCTTACACATATGATTAACGTGCATAATACTAAACATACCCCACACAATTCGTGCATATAAAACTAGGGAAATCTCAATAGGGTGGAGGGATGGCATCAAATTCAGAATTTTCTTGTTGTTGAAACAGGAAAGGTTCCCTTGTCCCCCTGGCAGGATGTGTGACAGGGGAAGTGGCTCAGAGTGGCTCGCAGTGCCTCGCTGCTCACACCTCTGGAGGAGCGTAGAGATGGGCAGGCTGTGGGGCTCTGACCCCATGGCAGTGTCTAGGGGTGAATGTTTATTGCTGAAGCCCCAGTGGGCGTGTATTACAGGGTACTCTTTTAGTTTAGCCATCTGTAAAGGGCTTGTGTTAGCTCAATTAGACCCCTGCCTTATTGCAAGGACAGAGGGCTTTCTGTATCCCTGAGTTCCTTGGTGTACCGGAAGAATTGGATCACATGTGGGCTTGGAGAATGAGTGCAGGGTTTTATCGAGTGGAAGTAGCTCTCGGCAGATGGGGGAGCCAGAAGGGAGATGGTTTTCCCCTGGAGTTGGGCCGCTTTCCCCTGGGTGGCCAGGGTTCTCCTCCCACTGCCCCAGACAAACTCCATGTCGTTCCGCCCGTCAGTGGCCTGCTGGTGTGCAGGTGCCTGTCGAGCCCCCTATGTTTCATGTGTTCCTCCACTGATGTGCTCCCCTTTATGTCCAGCCGCCTGTGTGTCTGCCTGCTAAGGTCTCAGGGTTTTTTGTTTGTTTGTTGTGTGTTTGTTTGTTTTGAGACAGAGTCTCGCTCTGTTGTCCACACTGGAGTGCAATGGCACGGTCTCCGTGATCTCTGCTCACTGCAGCCTTTGCCTCCCGGATTCAAGCGATTCTCCCGCTTCAGCCTCCCGAGTAGCTGGGATTACAGGCACCTGCCATCATGCCCAGCTAATATTTGTATTTTTAGTAGAGATAGGGTTTTGCCATGTTGGTCAGACTGGTCTTGAACTCCTGATGTCAGGTGATCTGCCCACCTCAGCCTCCCAAAGTGTTGGGATTACAGGCATGAGCCGTCGGTCCTGTCCAGGTCTTGGGGTTTTTATAGGCACAGGATGAGGGTGTGATTGACCAGGGTGGAGTCTTGGAAAATACAACATTTGGGCAGGAAAACAAAAATGTTTCTCCTCATCTAGGTCCATGGGCACAGGTCCGGGGGTGGAGCCCTAGACCATGCCCTGCCCCTCTTTTGTACCATTTAAAGGGACCACGACCTTCCCTTCCCCACTTCTGTATCATTGTGATATTAAGCTGTAGTTATGCATGATGTTGCCATTGAGGGAAAGTGGGTTAAGGGCATATGGGATCACTCTGTATTATTTCTTACAACTGTATGTGAATGTACACTTATCTTAAAATTAAAAGTTAAAACAGAAGTATTTCTAAAAATTAGAATAATAAGAGCCACCATTTATTGAGTGGTTACTATGTGCTAGGTTCTGTTTACATACTATCAGGGGGACATTATTGTTAACCTCATCTTCTAGAGGAGAAAACTGAGACGCAAAGAGATTAAATCACTCACACAGAGTCACTCAGCAACTAAGTGGCAGAACTTGCATTCAGATCCAGGCAACCTCACTCCAAAGACAGAACTCTTAACTACTTTGCAATCCTTATTGCGTATCTGTCTTTATATCTTGCCTTCTAGTCTCAGTTGTCAGCCCACTGCAATTTACCTTTCATCCCAATCACTCCCCTGAAACTGCTTTTGCCTCAATCACCAAGTCTGTTGCCAAACCTAATGGTCCCATTCTTTTTACAGCCTTTCCTATTGCCAACACATTCAACAAATATTTCCTGAGACATACAATGTACCAAGTTATGTTCTACAGCTGTAAAAAAGATAGGCAAAACAGCTACAACTGAAGAATGCACCTTTTAGAATTAGAGGTCTGAAATCTTCAGTTCTTTCTTGTTGTTTATGCTGCTGACTTGTTTATGGATGGTCAATAGGCGACTTTATTGTCCATGCCTTTGTTTTTCTGTGGCCAATCAGGTTATATAGCTAGTTTGTTTGTGGTTTTACAACATAAATGATAAAATATATTTAGATACCATTTTCCCTTTTTCCCCCAAATGGAAATCTGAACCTTTCCAAGCAATTGTCATGAATATGTACAAAGTAAGACAACCAAATCTGACGTATCCTACTCTTCTTATATCATTATTAAAAATGAATTGTGAAAAATTAATTGCCATTGACCTTTTACCTACTTTTTCTGTGTGAGGATAATTTGAATTAATTTTATGCTCACTATTTTGGAAACACCAGGAAGATCTCTGCAGAATATTAAGTTTCATTCCATATGTCCAAATAAAAAGTTACTCCAAGGAAAATACTCAGCTTCATGGAGACCTGGTAGTAGCTTTTTGCATATCACCAAAGCTAAGCATTTGAATCAGAGTTAAAGAGGCGTCATCTTGTCTCTTTCCACATATCCATGGTTATCTGTGTTTTCATTCCTTTCTCCCAATTCAGTAAAGAGAAGAAAAAAATTCTCTCCCACTTCTTCATGCCAAAAAAACAGCTCTTGTTTTATTACTTCCAATGGGAATGTATTTTCCTTGGTGATTGGAAGCAACTCTAGTCCTCTTGCCTACATCCAGGGTTAGTTACTATTTAACTATTTGTTTACAGCAGCAGTTAGCAATTTGCATGGACAGTGTATCAATGTCACTGCCCTCAATGAAGCCCAAATGCCTCTTGGAAGAAAGATGACAGATTCAGCCCATGGACTTGCAAAACTTTAAAAGTGATTCCTTGTCAAACACGGGAAAAACAACTCTTCCCTCTCTATAACTTGAGGAAAGAAATGAGAAACCATCTTACAACAGATGGTGATTCCTTGCTAGTAAAACAGGCCTGGCTGATTCAGCTCCACTCCTTTATGTTCTTTTTGCAAAACCCACAAAGAACACATTTGGGGCCACTTTTCAGAGTTGGCAACAGTCTCTGTTTTTTAAGGAAATCATGTGGACATTAAAAAAAAAAAAAAAAAAAAAGCCACAGTTGATGAAGGGCTTGTAATCCCCAGAAAACAGAAACAGGATGCATAGGCCTTAAATTGTAGGTCATCAGGTTTGGTAACTTGATTAAATTTGGTTGAAACAAAAACAAATTTGGGGCTGGGTGCAGTGGCTCATGCCTGTAACCCCAGCACTTTGGGAGGCCAAGGTGGGTGGATCACGAGGTCAGGAGTTCAAGATAAGCCTGGCCAAGATACCCCATCTCTCCTAAAAAGACCAAAAAAAAAAAAAAAAAAAAGCCAGGCATGGTGATGGGTGCCTGTAATCCCAGCTACTTGGGAGGCTGAGGCAGATAACTGCTTGAACCCAGGAGGCAGAGGCTGCTGTGAGCTGAGATCGCGCCACTGCACTCCAGCCTGGGCAACAGAGTAAGACTCTGTCTCAAAGAAAAAAAAAAAAAAGGGAAAGTTGATATTTTCTTGTTGATTAGACTTCTTCTTAAAAGAAAAAAAAAAAAAAAAAGGAGGAAGAGAAAGATGAAAAAGAGGAGGAACTAGAAACTATAAAAATACTCTTTGGGGTGATGGAATGATAAGGCGATCTCTAATTTTCAAATTACCCTAGATCTAAAGAATTCAATCTTTAATGTTAAGTCCAGTTCCTTTTTTCACCACTTGTATATAAAGTACTATAGCTGCTTTGATATATTTAGAAGTTATTTAGAGAAGCTTAGAACCAGTGTGTGAGTGTGTGTGAGTATGTGAGTGTGTGATAGAGAAAGAGAGAGAGAGAGTCTTCTTAATAAGCTTGGCTTTTTACAGATAGAACAGATGCCTCAGGACATCATGAAACTTTCTCATTGAAGATGTTGAAGCAGAATCTGGTGTATTGTGGAGTAGATTTAAACACTAGATTAATACTCAAATCAGTTAGCTTGTATGATTTTTTCTTCACTGAAGAGTCTATCCATCATGAATCAGAACTAAGCCCCCTTCACCTGTTCTTATAATAACCTTGATTTGGGGTATTTTCAGACATTTAGGGTAATACTTACTATTTAGTTCTTATATGCAAGAAAACACTGGCCACCTTTACTAATGTCCTATTTTATTTCTTTAGGTGTCTGAACACACACAGTTAAGTTGGATCCTTTCCTGCATGGTCAGACTACCTCGATTACAACATTTACATCAGTGGAAGGTAAATGCCAGTAATCTGATTAATAAACAGACAATAAGCTATTTTTCCCTTCCTGTTTATTTTTCTGTTAGGTTCTGGGAATCCTGAGTTTACTCTCCTCCCTGGTCTGCTACTCACTAATGGTTGGAACATCATCTTTAACCTCCCTGCTTCAGAGTATTAAAAGGAAAATAAAAGGATTTTCCAAGATTCCTCCTGACTTAAAAATGATGTTAATCATTTTTATCTGTGTACAGTTGAATGAGCGTTACCTTTGGATAGACTTGGTAATGACTTTGAACAACCACATAGTTAATAAACAATCACAGATTCTTGATTACCGGACCCTGAAGTTGCCTCCCATTTCCACTGGAATTAACTGGCAGTAAGGAAAGAATGTTTTTATTGCGGAGAGAAGAGACAACATATTATATTTAACAGTTAAACAAGTTGAGTCCAGGCAACAGTTCAAACCCACAGAATAATTAGGGCTATACTTTTTCTAAGACGTTCAACCAAGAAAGATAAATTGAATAATTCATAGTACTTTACTTCCATTTATTTTTGCAATTGGATAACCCCAGGGTAGGTAGCCCCCAACTACGTCAACGCTAATTTCAATTTCAAGCTTCTTTTGAGCGTATTTTCAGGGCCATTGGTTTCCTCATAAGCTGGTCTTTAGAAGCCTTCACACATGCTACAGAAAGAAAAAGACAAAGCTTTAAAGTGACAGTTTCTAAATGCTATGATCTGAATGTGTCCCCCCAAAATTTATATGTTGAAACCTAACTCCCAAGATGACGGTATTAGGAGGTAGGGCCTTAGTAAGGTGATTAAATCATGAGGGTGGTGCCCTCATCAGTGAGATTAGTGCTCTTGTTAAAGAGGCCCGAGAGAGACCACCTGCTCCTGCCATCATCTGTGGACAGAGCTAGAAGTCACTGTCCATGAACAAGGTTCCTCACCAGACACTGACTTTGCCTTCATCTTGGACTTCCCAGCCTCCAGAACTATGAGAAGTAAATTTCTGTTGTTTATAAGCCACCTAGTTGGGTATTTTGTTATAACAGCCTGAGTGGACTAAGACACTTAATACCTAAGACGGAACTGGTAATGCTGCAGATTCCTTATTTGCCACGAATTAGAAATAAAGTTTCATAATGTTATCCGCCGTATTTTGGTTTTAGGCAATACTTTCCCCATAATATTCTACCATTAAGTGTAATGTTGAAATCCTTTTTATAGGAACTGAATACTAATCTAATAGGAACTATTCCCACTTTAAAACAGCATCTAAAGATCTCCTGATAGCACATTACTAGTGCATGTACTGATATTCTGGAAAAACCTTTCCATTAGTATATAATTGCTTGTTTGTAGGAAAAACATGAATTTCAAATCCCAGTCTTATCCTCAGGTATGTCACTGTTTTCTGTGGTCATTCCTTCATTAATACTAATTAAATACTAGTAATATCTTCTGTGAGTCTTACGTCATATTACGTGCTAGAGATAATAGCAGTCAATAAGAAGTAGCCCCCTTCATGAGGCTTATAGTCTGTTTGGGAAGAGACAATTAAATAAGTAATAAGAAAGTGTAAGAAGCGCTCTGAGGGCTGGATTCCAGTGCCATGGAGGATCTGATAAGGGCATCTAGCTTGGTTTCCATTGGGACAGCAAAAGGTAGAATAGTGGCACAGAAGGGTGGGGTGAGGGTTGCTGAGGTCAGGGTTATTTAGAGGATTAATCAGTAACATATATGTAAAACATCTGGAGCACATAATAGGCACTCAATAAATATTAATGCTCTCCACATTTTCCCTCTCCCTTGTAATTTCAAGGTCCATTACGCTAATATGAAAAGGCTATAAATTGGGATGGCAACTTTTAAAAATTGGGTTCTTTTCCAATTTGCACATTTCCAAATTAAACTTTCATTATCTTTACCTGGTGATAATTGTGAACTAGCCTTTATCATGAACTTTGTAATTAGGGGATGTAGTGAAGAGATTGTATGTTCAAACATTCAAATTTCGTTTGAATGGCCTAGAGCATTGGTTGCTATAAGCCAGAAACCACTTGAAGTATACTCAGAAAAGTTTGTAACTAAATTATGAAACACCAAAATTAAGATGACTAAAGAGAGAAGCTGTTGTGTTTTCAGATTGAGCCTTAAAAAGTGTGTCTGCACCTTGGTAGGGGTACCCCAAATTTGTAAGCTCATGAGCTTGGTCCCTGGAATAAAACAAGTTTATAAATTCAGTTGCCCAGTTCATTTTGAAATAATCAGACTTGAAGGAAATGATTCACATTAACTAAATGGGTAAGATTTGTCTACATACCAAAGCATCCATTTATTTTTACAAGAGATGCTATACCTTAGGCCTTGAAACTGCACAGAGTATTCTCATCTGATAAATAGCTCTACTCAGAGAACCAAACGACATGTCAGCAATGTGCAGCCGCAGCAAGGGAGTTAGCATCATTAGGATCATGTTTACTGAATACACAGTAGTAGTTTATAGTCGACATCTATTGCTACCCAGTTATTAAATGTTTCTAATATCATCTCAGGTGTTTCCATCAACTTCTCCATTAAGGAACTGTTTTGGTCTATACAACCTGTACTGTTCATTGGGGCATGCTTAATCACCTAAGGATCAAGACAGGTCATTAGGATTGGTTAGATGAAAATTTCTCTCACTTAGTTTTATTTTAAATGCCATGATTTTTTGTTTTTTGTTATTTAAATGTGATTTTAAGGGAACATTCCAGTTTTCTCAGTAGCATGCTGTGAGACTTTTTGGGAAGTTTCCACATATAAACAATAGGGCTTTTGATATTAACTGCAGTTAATTTGTAGAGATTTAATTTCATGATAATTTGTGACCTTGTCTGTGAAATCTGGAATTTATCCGATTTAGAACCAATAAATGCCTGTATCCTTACTTTAATAAAATAAATAAGAAATAGTAGCAGGGCAGGATCCTTTAAAGGGGCAGTGGTGAAATACACTGTCCTTATTCCTGCCTCAGCCTGGAGCGTGAAGACAAGCGAGCCGGAAGATGGCTAGAGTTGCTAAAAAGGAACCCACATATAATGTTATTACAGGTGGCTGCAGATCACAGTTTGCTTGTTTTAAAATTTTCTTAATTTAGCAGTATAATTAGGTTCAAGTCAGATTTCAGATTTCTAACCCTCCTTTCTTTTCACCTCTCACAGGCAAAGACTACCAAGCAGAAGCACGATGGCACGGGGGGCCTGCTCACATACCCAGTACTCCAGGCAGCCGACATTCTGTTGTACAAGTAAGAAGAGAGTTCACCCTGGTCTTGTACATACTCATGGTGACTAGAGAGTGTTTTAACCTGTTCAATACAGACTTGGTTCATGGGCAGGGGGAAGTGCAGAAAGGGTCAGACATCTGAATCAGTTTATATCTATTCCCCAGAAATAGGTACTACATTATAGAAGTAGTTTCTGTGAGAAACTAATAATATTAAGAGCTAACATTTAAATAGCACTTACAACGTGTTGGAAACCATTGTAAGTGCTTTACATACATCAGCCCTTACAACAACCTTCTAAAATTTGCACTCTTATTGTCCCAGTTTTACAGATGGAGAAATTGAGGGACAGAGTGGTTAATAGCATGCCCAAAGTCATATAATTAGCAAAGCTTGGAGCGAGGATTTGAGTCCACGAAGTTTGGATACAGAGTCTGTGCTCATAACCAGTATGCCATATATATTTCCCCAGTGATGATTAAACTTCAAACATTTTAAATGTTGATTTTTTTATATATTCTAGACTCTAAAGCAATGCTGTCCAATAGAACTCTCTGTGTTTATGGAAATATTCTATGTCTGTGCTAGATCCTGTAGCCAGTAGCCACATGTGTGGCTGTTGAGCACCTGAAGTGTTGCTAGTGCCACAGAGGAACTGAACTTTACCTTCTATTTAATTTTAATTAAATTTAAATAGCCACTGTATTAGACCTACAGGTTGAGAGTGAGTTTTTAAAATATGATATAGGGTACTTGTACTTTTCCTGGACCCATAATCCATCCAGTCAGCTACTGCTGCCACTTAAAGTCCTAAAAAATATATACACCTGAGGATGCTGATCCCTGCACTTGCTGTACTACTGGCCAGGGCTTCTGATTTCATCCCCCTCTCAATTCTTCCATGCTAACCCCTCATCAGCCTCCTCTGACCCCCATTTGGCCTTCTAGAGATAAAGCCTCCCAATTGGCATGCACTTAGGGCCATGCTACTGTGAAAGCTTCTGGGAAAAGAAGACACTTCACCAATGTTTTTGCATCCCTTACCCCTAAAGCTGTGAACTACAGTTCTTTGCATGGAAGTCTGATAACAGCATGAAGACGACAGTATCTGTACCTCGTGGCATGACTCCAGAGCCCTTGTGCAATTATGACAGAAACAGCCAGAAGGGCAGCTGCTTAGCTCTACAAACAGGGAATGTCCATGAGTACATGCAGCCTATCTTCAATTCTGATGAAAACTTGCAAGGATTATTTGTCTGTTTGTTGTATTAACTTGTATGCTGGACTCTTGATAACATTTATTATTTGTAATTAGTAGCTTTTGACTTATTTAAAAAGCTAGAACAATATTCTCCAATAAGTAACAAATGAAAGTATAATGAAAGTCTTAATAATACAATTTCTAGAGAGGTAGGATATTTGCTTGAAAAGGTTCTGTGAAGAAACTTGATTTTCTCACCTGTAAAATGGGAATAATTATTAAGCACAGGATTATTAGAGGATTAAAATGAAATATAGGCCAGGCAGTACTCTTGACTAGGAGCTGTTACTTGGTTATGACTAATGATGACTATGTCTTTGATGATTACAATGTTGTCTAATTTTGTTTCAAGACCTACTTCTTTATAGAACCAAAGGCTAGCCAGGCATCGTGTTGCATGCCTGAAGTTCCAACTACTTGGAAGGCTGAGGCGGGAGGATCACTTGAGCCCAGCCGGGGCAAAATAGTGAAACCTTGGCTCCAGAAACGAAAACAAAAAACAAAAGCTGAGAATTGTCAGCACTAGAGTAAGAAAACACATGAGCATGGTAGGTTTCCTTAACAGTTGAAGAGCTATAATGGGAGAGTCCTCTGAGCTTAGGGCTATGGAAAAGCGTAAACTTTAACAAGAATGACTGCACTCTTAATGATACCGTGAGGCAAAGGATGGAAAGGAGCTTTAAGGAGCCTCTTCTTTAATTCCATTGCTTTACAAGTGCAGCCCAATGTGGGTTTAACAACTTGCCCGAAGTTGTGTAGCCAGTTAGTCGACTTTGGAACATCTAGGCAAGACTATAGGTCTACAGCACTTTTTCTGCTAATGTACATTTTGTATTTGTCTCGTTATGTTTCTTCTCAAGTTTAGAAGCTCCTAATTGCTTGATAATAAGCAGCGGAGTCAGGACTCAAACTCAGGTTTGATTTTTAGGCTACATCATTGTTTTCCCTGTAACAGAGATGAAGCACTTGAGGGTATTTTTATTTGTTTTTATTTTGCTTTGTTCCAGACATTTCTGGATTTTGAAAAAGATCATTGCCAGAATGTCTCTGAATATTTGTATTATAAATGTAGATAGGTAGGATGGTAGAATGAAGGGTGGATAAAACATCTGTGTTTTTTTCCCTACCAGCATGTAACCTCTTCATAAAAGGTTACATGTAACCTCTTCATAAAATTTTGATGCAAGCCAAATATTAGTGTTTCCTTTTATCAAAATCATCATCAGAATGAGTGGCATGGTGGGTCAGAGAACAAACATAATAGAAAGGAATGGAAGAGGAGCCATTCAGATAAGTTTATAAAAGATTTATGTAAATGTTTTGGCGGAACTTGGTAAGGAACCCAGGAATGGACAGCTGAGACCATCTTTAACTGCAGAGTATGATAAGCACAAGAAATTTGAATACAGACAAAATATTCCAATGCTCAAAAATAGCAAGTATTCATAGTTTTTATTCTGCATCTGTATTATTTTTCCAAATGCCTAATTTCAAATAGCTGACTATATATTAAGTAAATATTTCTTTCTCCTCTTTCTCTCTGTATATGTCTCTCTCTCTTTCTCTCTCTCTCTGTGTGTATGTATATGTGTTTTATATATATATATATGTGTGTATATATATGCATACACACACACATACACATAAAGGCACACACATATAATTTTTATTAATAAACAACAAATAGTTGCTAAGTACCTACAATGCCACTGATCCGGGAAAAGGCACTATACATGGCCTTGAGGGAAAGGAAAGGAAGGACTTTACATGTGTTGAGCATTATTTGCCAGTCATCTACTAACTGCTACACACTCATTATCTGTTCGGTTCTCACAATAGGGCTATAAAATAAGTGGATGGTATTATCCCCACTTTACAGATGAGGAAATGAAGTTTCAGAGAGATTCCACTAAGTTCATTCAGATAGAGATGAAAGTGAGTATCTGGGCAAATCAGATTATCTTTCTCAAGAATTTGAAAAATTTGGGAAGAGGACTGGAAACTGGCTGGGCACAGTGGCTCATGCCTGTAATCCCAGCACTTTGGGAGGCCCTGCCAGGCAGATCACCTGAGCTCAGGAGTTCCAGAGCAGCCTGGTCAAAATGGTGAAACCTTGTCTCTATTTAAAATACAAAATATTAGCTGGGCATGGTGGTGTGTGCCTGTAGTCCCAGCTACTTGGGAGGCTGAGGCACAAGAATTGCTTGAACCCAGGAGGAGGAGGCCGCAGTGAGCCGAGAGCACACCACTGCACTCTAGCCTGGGTGATGGAGCGAAACTCTTATCTCAAAAAAAAAAAAAAAAAAAAAAGACTGCAAATGAAAGCAAAAATGATATAGAAAAATGAGACAACAGAGTCTTCAAGAAACTGCAGGCAGAAACCAAACCAAACCAAAACCCAGAAAGTATAGAGAGCAAAATGATTGCTCGGATACTTCAGGCTGGTAGAGTCAGAGAAGAGGTGTCATCATAATGTCTAAGAATCAGGCTACTGCCATTGAGGACCACTGAAAATAAGCTTTTTGAGAGCTTATTATTATGAGTATTTCTCTTTTTTTGAGACTGTCATAGAACAGCATTTGAGAGCTTTTTCTAAGAATGCTAGAGTTCCTATAGCTGCTTTGGAGACTTCCAGTTCTTGAAGTGCTTCATTCTTTGTGAGGCCAGAGTCGAGCCTGGATTTTTCTGAGATTCAGGAACCTGCTGCTCATTTCTGCAGTCTGCTCATAGGCGTGTACTCACCCACTCTACCTAAGCAACAGTTTTTATCCTTCTCTTTCCACTTCACTTCTATTAGGCAAAGGCCTATACCAAACCAGAACCCTCCTGAAAGGCAGTCTGAGAAATGTAGTTTGCAGGCTGCCAGCCCCTGAAAATCAAGAGGTAGTGTAGAAGGGAGAGAATGGTGCTGAGGTGTCAACAGATAATCCAGTGTGCTCTCCAAAGAGCAACAGGAAGCTATTTGTACATTTCAAGGATACAGCGAATTTGATATGACTCATTCTTTTAAAAGAGAATTAAAATACAGAGAATGAATTTTAGGAAGACAAGAATATCTGGGGCAGTCTGTTTAGAGGCTATTTCATAGTCTAATGTGGGCCATGATGGTGACAGTGAAGAGGAAGAAAAGTAGACAAATATAAGAAACATTTAGGCGGTAAAATGGATAGGACTGGATGTGTATGAGAGGGAGGTGTCAGGGATGACCCAATGTTTCTGACTTACCCAACTGGATTGATAGCATTGCCATTCACTGAGGTAGGGGATGCTGAAGGAGGACTCGCCAGAAGAGTTCAGAGCTTCCTTGGGTATTATCTCTCCTCCTGGAGGTCTTAAATCTTTAGAAAGTAAACCTTTCATTATATATTTCACAGTGCCCAGCACCAGGTCTTTCACATCATGGGTCTTCAGTAAGTAATTGCTGAATTAGAGAGTCATTATTGCATATCCAACAAGCAACTAGTGATGAGAAATGAATCCTTTATGACAAGAAAACACCACCGAACTCCTGTCGCAGCTGGGCTGGTCAAAGGCAGCAGCACTGAAAAGTTACCAACACAGCCAAAAAAAGTAGAAAAAGAAAGAATAAGACAACAAATCTCTGTGAGCAGATATATGTAGGTAATGATTATTCATCTGGACACTAATTCTGCCAGAAGGGTGGGGTGATCTTAAGTAATCATAGATGCAAAAACTAAGCAAAAGAAAAATGGTTTAGTCACCGAAGGAGATCAGAGGCCTTATTATGTGACAGAAGTTATAACAATCAAAATTATGAAAGACTTTTGTTTTATGTTGTGTCTAAGAAAGCACAGTCAGTAACTAAAAAAAAAGGAAAATAGAAAAAAGAGAAGACACATTAATATGGATATCATTATGCAGGATATAAATTTTTAAAGAACAGCACTAAATTATTTGAAGTGAAAGGAAGACTGAGGGGAAAGGCTGGAAATATGAAGAGAATAAGGCACATAAGTGAGTAGAATCAAAGACAAGATGAATTAATGTAAAGTGTAAACTCACTGGATGAGAAGTAAAGGCCAAAATAAATTGTAGGAGGTGAAAGAAGCAGCAGGAGCACAGGGAGGGAAGGCGAGAAACAAACACACTAAAATCAGATGAAAAAGCCAAGTGGAGCAATAGGGGCAGGTGAAAAAGATTAAAATTTTTTAAATCCTTTTTTTAAAAAAAAGCCAACCCCCCCCACCCACCCCCCCCCCCCCACAGAATTGTTAGAAAAGAGGCAAGGAACCGACATCAGGCAAAGATGCATGCAGAGTCATTATGAAAACTAAATGTGTTTTCTGTTTAGTTTCGTTGCTTTGTGAATCTGGAACCATTTTGACATGTGGAAATATTCATTTTGATGTGCTTTAAGTGTATTGATTATGGTAATTGTTTTTTCTGTGTTAGTTGCAGTCCATTGCGATTTCCTATGGGCTACTGTTGTTGTTTTTTAACCTGCTCTGTTGGCTAATTTAGCTTGGGGGTGTCCAGGTGACCTCTGCATGTCAGCCTAACTACAATTACAAGACAGGTGTAGCAAAGTCCACTCAAAGAAGAGAAAGTTACCAAGGTGGGGTGTCTGCATGTACATCCCAGAAAGGAGTATCATGTAGGACTATGAGTGCTTACGAAAACATAAAAAGGAATATTTTTGTTTTTGCCACTCACTGATCCAGTGGCTTTCTACTCCAGGCTGTGTGGAAGACAGCAGTGGTTATGGCCCTAACAGTTATTCTGTAGAATTTCCCACATTCACTTATTTTTTTTTTTTTAACTTTTTATTTATTTATTTATTTTTTGAGATGGCGTTTCACGCTTGTTGCCCAGGCTGGAGTGCAATGGTGCAATCTCGGCTCATTGCAACCTCCGCCTCCCGGATTCAAGCGATTCTCCTGCCTCAGCTTCCCAAGTAGCTGGGATTACAGGCATGCACCACTACCCCCAGCTAATTACGTATTTTTAATAGAGACAGGGTTTCACCGTTGGTCAGGCTGGTCTCGAACTCCCGACCTCAGGTGACTCTCCCACCTTGGCCTCCCAAAGTGCTGGGATTACAAGCACGGGCCACTGTACCCGGTCAACATTCACTTATTGGCCTTAGAAGAAGAGAAACACCTTCTGGGTCTGCTGTCATGGTCCTTACATTTTGCCTTTCCATTGATTGTTCTGTTCTTGTTTTCCTTAAATTAAAAGAGCTCTCAGAATTCCTGTAACATGCGATTTATATTTTGGGATTACCTGATCAGATATGTGAACTGTCAGTTTCAAGTAAGGTTTCTATGCATATCAGGATCACTGCCCAGGTCTGTGACTATCTCTGGGATTATGCGTTCTTATTTGTGGTATGTCAGCTCTGAAAAAGGAAAATGATCCGGTGTGAAAAAAGTCAGTGTACCCCTCATCAGGGTTCTTTATAGTATCTTTATTTTACCATTTTGTCCTTCATCATGTCAGATATTAATGAATGTATATATATAGAGCGAGAAATATCAATAGCAACCATTTATAGAGCTAATTACTATCAAGTCGTATACTTGTAATCCATGAAAGAGCCGTATGAGGTAAGCTCCATCATGACCCTCACTTTACAGAGGAAACGAAGGCTTAGAAAGGGTAAGAAACTTGCCTATGATGTCTCGCTACTTTTTTCACAGGAGCAATATTGTTTCTTTGATTAAAAAAACCTCAGAGCACTGTATTACTTGTATTATCAAGTATAAACTCCCAGCCAAGCATTACATATATAAAATCGCCTGTTTTTTATCCCTCCATAAGGCTTCAGTATAAAATTTTCCTCATCAAGACTTCTCTATAATGGTTCATTCTTCCCTTATTTGATGTAATAAAGTTTGCAGTGTCATGATCTGACACTGCCAACTTTACATATGGGATTAAAGTCATGATAAAGTCATTCCCTATATTCTCATATTTTTGGTTTCACATCTTCATTTCTTAATAAAATGAAATATTACAGATAAAATTCAAGTCTCCTTTGTTCTTCAGATCTATTTCCTTCCCACCTTCTCTAGAAGCAGCTACAATTATAAATTTGGGGAGGAGCTTCCAGTATGTTTTTATGCTTATTACTACAGATATATTTCCATATGCACTTATAAAAATTACATAAATGTCAATGTACTTCATGTTTTCTCCAACTTGCTCTTTGATAGCCATCTACACTATACTTGTAGATTTTAAGTTCTCTGCAACATATTAATTGTCCTGTGATTGCAATGTACTTGAAAATGAAGCTTACTGTAAAAGAATATTGAATTACTCCCTATGTGACAGGGAGGAAAAACTCTTGCCTGAAGAACTTTCTGCCGCCTTTGATTTGAAGAGTGGGGTGGGGTGTCTTTCAAGTGTGAGCTACAGTTCTGAGGTAAAAAGCATCTGGTCAGGCCTGGGATAATATGTGCTGACTGGGTGAGGGAATGAGGAGTAGTTTTAAAACACAATCGTGCCTAGAGCATATGCTATTTAAAATCCCATTCCTCCCTCCCAGCAAGATCCTGTTATTCTGGTGTTGATGGCTGTATTCCTCTGCTATGGAAAAAACACGTCTAGAGTAGAGAAACATCTCTTTGGCTTTTGTCTGATCCATAGATAAAGACTTAGGTCTAAACATTCCCTCTATAGTTGGTGAACATTTGTTGAACACCAACAGCGAAATATTCACAGGAAATGCAGCTGCTTGCAATATCATTTCTGTCTCTAAGAAAGAGCCTTGCTGTGTTTTTCTGTCTGTCTTTTATTAAAGGTCCACACACGTTCCTGTTGGGGAGGATCAAGTCCAGCACATGGAACTAGTTCAGGACCTAGCAGAAGGTTTCAACAAGAAGTATGGGGAGTTCTTTCCAGTGCCCAAGTCCGTTCTAAGTAAGTAACAAACTTATAATTGTTACATCAGGGTATATTCTAAAGAGAGGATTGGACAATAGACAGGCTTGGACCTTTCTTGGGACTAACCTCAGCTTTCTTGTAGACAGGATTCAGGATCTGTAACTAGAGTCCTCATTGTTTTCTCTAGTGTAGGACTAGTAGGTAGACCACATTGGATTACTGAAAAAGATGTTGAGTTATTGGAAAGGGTAACTAAAATTATTTTAAAAGTATGGAAGAGACAAAAAATTTAAAATAATATTTAAAAAGTAGTACATAATTTACAAAGTATAAACGGATGCTTCTTGACTTATAATTGGGTTACATCCTGATAAAGCCATTGTAAGTTGAAAACACTGTTAATCAAAAATGCATTTAACCCACCTAACCTACTGAACATCACAGCTCAGCCTAGCCACCTTCAGCGTGCTCAAAACACTTACATTAGTCTATAATTGGGCAGAATCATCTAACACAAAGCCTATTTTACAACAAAGTATTGAATATCTCATGTAATTTATTGAATACTATACTGAAAGTGAAAAACAAAATGGTTGTGTGGGTATTTCAAGTACAGTTTCTACTGAATGGATATCACTTTTATACCACTGTAAATTTGAAAAATCATAATTCAAACCATTGCAAGTTCGGAACTGTCAGTATATACATCTTGGTGATTTGTTTGTTTTGTTTTTGTTTTGGGTATGTGTGTGTTGGTGTTTTTAACCTAGCATCCATGAAGAAGGTAAAATCCCTCCGTGATCCTTCTGCCAAAATGTCGAAATCAGACCCTGACAAACTGGCCACCGTCCGAATAACGGACAGCCCAGAGGAGATAGTGCAGAAATTCCGCAAGGCTGTGACGGACTTCACCTCGGAGGTCACCTATGACCCGGCTGGCCGCGCTGGCGTGTCCAACATGGTGGCAGTGCACGCCGCGGTGACGGGGCTCTCGGTGGAGGAAGTGGTGCGCCGCAGCGCGGGCATGGACACTGCTCACTACAAGCTGGCCGTGGCAGATGCTGTGATTGAGAAGTTTGCCCCAATTAAGCGTGAAATTGAAAAACTGAAGCTGGACAAGGACCATTTAGAGAAAGTTTTACAAATTGGATCAGCAAAAGCCAAAGAATTAGCATACCCTGTGTGCCAGGAGGTGAAGAAATTGGTAGGTTTTCTATAGGAAGTTTCAACGAATCACAGTAAGGCTTTTGTGCCTTGCACTCCATGCATTCTGATAACGGCAGCTTTCCTCACAAGAAAAAGTTATAGTTTTGGGACATTTAATTTGGTATAGCTGATTATTGGCTTTATTTGATGAATATTGCTTTGTAGCTTTGAAATACGACAGTGTTCCAAACCCCATCAACAAAATGCTGTGAACAACAACAAAAATAAATAAATAAATAAAGAAGGCATAGCTGTCTGAATCCCCAATTATTGAGGCACACTCCTTGGCCTACACAAATGTGATTGAGGTAAGGAGTAATTTGGGAAATGGAGTGTCATTTGTGCTTCTTTCTGGAGTACTTAGTGTAACAGATGCACACTTTATCTACTTCAACCCTTTTATAAAGCAATATATAGAGTTCTTAGATGTTTAATCCTTGAGATGCCATTTGATCAGATGCTAATTTGTATTCAGATCTCATAAAAACAAGTCCATTCTTATAGTTTGTTTGTCACTGAGATGGTGCCTGATTTAATATATTTAAGTTGATTAACTTGTTTTCCAAGAGGTGACACCAACTGTTCCAGCAATAATTTGTTTTTTAATTCAGAGATATGGGATATGATCTTCTAAGGAGGTTGCATTATTTTGACTTGATTTATTTACTGTACAAGAGCCCAAGTCCCTGAATTATATTCTTAATAAGTACTTTCTTGCATTCATTTCAGTTTAGTCTCACCAACCCCCTATGAATTAGGAGAATTAGTGTCATTTTACACATGAGGAAAGTGAGGCTGAGAGAATCCAATTAGCTTGTACGATATCACTCCATAAGAGAAGCAAATCTGAGAGTAAAACTCTTACCCCTTATTCTTAAGAATAGTGCTTGTTTCATCAGTACCAAAAAATAAAAATGCTGAAAGGTAGCATTTTTTAGACTCTCAACATTCTGATTTTGAAGGTGGGTATTGGAACGACTGATGACGTTTATATCATCAATTCAGCCAATAGATGCGAACTTAAAATCTGGATTCAGACAACCGTGGTCACATTTCCCCATCACAATCCCCAAGGCAGGTCCCAAGTTCTCTCCTCTATGCTTTTTGCAGAAACACTTTGAAATAGGTTCTGCCAGTCTACAACAGCAGTGAAGACTGATAAATCAGATATTCCCAATGACTGACAGCTTCTCATCTTGCCTCTACCTCAGTTAAGTAATGTCACCCTAAAACCTAGCTTTTCTGCACTTCTATTTCTGACACTTGAAAATGAAAATGATAATCCTGACTTATACAACAAGACCTGTTAGGAATATCGATTTGGTAACAGAAATTGCTTATAAGTTTTTTGTCAGTAAGGACCATGATCACCATTTGTACATACCTAACTAGGTTGTTGAGCAAAGCATTTTTGCTCATGTTTCTTAAGGAAGTAGAGTGGTCCTCGTGTCAGAACACATGTAAATCCACAAAACACCACATCTCAGAATCCGAATTAAAAGATCCTTTTTAGGATTCTTGGAGCTAGCCTGGATCATGGGAAAAGGAAACATTTTGCCTTTTGTATCTTATATTGGAATGGGATGTCTATAAATCCTAGAACCTCTTTGAGCATATTTCTTACTAGCCTCTTTTTTTTCCCCTTTAAAGGAAACTTTGAAAGGATTATGAATACTGGAAAATGACAAAATTAAAGGTAGATCTATTTGCCTTTTGTATCTTATATTGGAATGGGATGTCTATAAATCCTAGAACCTCTTTGAGCTATTTCTTACAGGCCTCTTTTTTTCCCCTTTAAAGGAAACTTTGAAAGGATTATGAATACTGGAAAATGACAAAACTAAAGGTAGATCTATCAAGCCAATTATCTGTTTATCTGTTTGTGTGGTTTTTTACCCCCTTGCAATACCTTTCCTCCAAAAAACTAAGGCACTATGGAAAGAATCTCAGAGGAGAAAAACAAATAACTTGTGATAACTTCCAGGGACCAAAGTCTATGCATTGGTGAGGGTGGACTTGTTTGCAACCTGTTGTTTTTTTTTTTTAAGTGACCGAACTGTTCAGGTCCAAACTTGGCCCATAATTATTAAGAGAATCTTGCCTGGTTAATCAGTATTAATCAGGATTCTTCAGAGAAACAGAACCAATAGGATATATATCTGTATATTAGAGGATTTATTATGGGGATTAGCTCACCCAATTATGAACGCTGAGAAGTTCCATGATAGGCTATGTGCAAGCTGGACCCATGAGAGATGATGGTGTGATGCAGTCCAAGTCCTCAGGCTGGAGAACCAGGGGAACCAATGACATAACTGTCAGTCCAAGGCTGAAGGCTTGAGAACCTGGGGGCCACTGTAAGTCCCAGAGTCTGAAGGCCTGAGAACCAGGAGCTCTGATGTCCTAGGGCAGGAGAAGGTGAAGTCCCAGCTCTAGAAGACAGCAAATTAGCCCTTCCTCTGTCTTTTTGTTCTAGTCAGTCCCTCAGCTGATTGGATGTCAGCCCACATTGATGAGGGTGTATCTCCTTTATTGAGTCTACTGATTGAAAGGCCAATCTCTTCCAGAAACACCCTCACACACACACCCAGAGTAATGCTTTACCAGCTATCTGGATATCCCTTAACTCAGTCAGGTTGACATAAAATTATCCATCACGGCCGAGTGCAGTGCCTTACATCTGTAATCCCAGCACTTTGGGAGGCTGAGGCGGGCGGATCATTAGGTCAGGAGACCGAGACCATCCTGGCTAACACGGTGAAAACCTCGTCTCTACTAAAAATACAAAAAAAAAAAAAAAATTAGCCGAGCGTGGTGGGGGGTGCCGAGATCGCGCCACTGCACTCCAGCCTGGGCGACAGAGCGAGACTCCGTCTCAAAAAAAAAAAAAAAAAAAAAATTATCCATCACACCTAGTGATCTCAGGAAGTTGATTAAAGAGCCAAGCATAGAATCTAGATCTATTTTCACATCCCTTCCACCTATCGTTTACAGGACCTTCACAATCTTTCTAATGGACATGAAAAATTGGAGAGAAACTTAATTTTTGTTTTTTCCTGTATGTTTTGTAGAAAGTTGAAATGGTAAAAAAATATTTCAGATGGTAATAATCATGGTCATGTAACTTGGTGCTCTGAAACCCTGCTTCAAACCCACTTTGACACAACACAGTGGGGGTGGCTTGCCCCTTGTAGGTGACTCATAAACATTTATCAAAAGTACATGTCAGAAAATGGGCTAGAGATTTCTAATAAAGCTGAATTTTTTTTTTTGCAAAAGCCCTCCTGATGTACACCATCAAGATGCTTATAATAACACTATTGAGTTCTCATTGTTTATCAGGCACCACACTAAATGGCTTATAACAGTGTTTTTCCAAGTGTGGTCCCCAGACTGGCAACATGAGCATCACCTGGGAACTCATTAGGAATGCAGATTATCTGACTCTACCTCAGACCTATTGAATAAAAAAGCTGGAGGATGAACCCAGCAATTGGTGTCTTCGCCTTCCAGGTGATACTGATGCATGCTGAACTTTGAGAACCATCGCTTTATTTGCATTCTCTAATTTAATCTATAAGCCAATAAAGTAGATACTGTTATCAACCTCAGATTGTGAAAGTTGAAACTGAGGAGGCATGGGAGGCTGAGTTACTTGCTTAAAGTAGTTCAGCTTCTAAAGGGAAGATTGTGGTTTCAAATCCAGGTCACCTAATCCAGAGCCACACTAGGCCAACAGTGACCTGTATAGGTCTTTTGGTATGTATGGGGGCAACAGTGTCCAATATAGTATGTGTCCATTTAAACTGAAACAATTAAATTTTAAAAACTGCTTCCTTAGCAGCACTTTCAAGTTCCCCATGGCTTCATGTGGTTTATGCTTACCATAGTGAATAAATACAGATGGAGAACACTTCTGTCATAGAACCATCTATGGATACTGCTTCTTCAGTATTCCGTTTACTAGTTTTGCTTAATAATAGGTCAAATATTTAAAGTTCAGGACTCTTCCTAGAGAGTTATTCAACTGGGCAATTCACGAAGATAGTAAAAGCATTACTTGAGAATGACCATATAGTTTGCCAAAGAATATTAAATAATAAGAGCTATTCCAATATGTATTATATACTTGCCATATGCTGAGCACTTTATAAGTGTATTTATGTTCAATATCTTATTTCATGTTTATGTCAGCTCTATAAGATAGGAACTATTGATACCAGTTTTTAAAGTAACAGTCAGCAACTTGCCAAAAGTAACATATTTATTATGAGTCTCTAGCTTCTCCTAATTAAGAATGAAGAAATATCCCTTAACTATTATGCCCAAGGGAGTAGTCTGCCGCTTTTCATTGAGTCTAGAATCTTCTCCAAGTACTTGTGATACTCTCTTGTGTGTCCCATGATATTTTTACCCTCACTTCTCCCTCCTTGCCTCCTTTCCCCCTCCCTTCTCCTTACTTTAATGCTGTTATAATTATTCCCCGAAAAGTTCTTCATTTGTACACAGAGCAGTCTTTAGTTTGCTTTCAAATGCAGCCTTTGATTTCTTTCAGTTCACCCTGTCAAGTGCTATGTGCCCCTGTTACAAGTTAAAGGAAATAATTGTGCATGTGAAATTCTTGGTCTCTTTCTCTTTAACACAAGGACTCTGTCTGTGTTCTCATTGACTGTGTGTCCTCCCTATGTGATCAACATTCTCTTTTCAGTCTGTCAACTGGGTGCATCTTTTGAAATGTTTTGGCTGGGAAGAGTCAATCCCTCCCTGAGACTGAGCTGAAAACAAATTGCCTATCACTAGCACTTAACACTTTCAAACCACCCCCTTTAAGAAGAACAACCTGGAGGCTTTACTGTTAGTCATTTTAAGTCCTCATATGTTAACTCTCAAGAATTCTGTTATATTGGCCAGGCAGGGATTCTCTTCTTTCTCTAGGAAGGAAACTGGGTTTCAGAGCTATAGTGACTTTATCCTTAGATAGGTAATTCAACATTATGACAAATTTTTGGGTAGGCACTGAGGAAATGCAATATGATTACAGTTTAGAGGAAGACACACAGAGATACCAGCTAGCAACTGCTGGGTGTGCCTGGGAATGAGTAATTCACAAGAATGTTCAAGGAAGGAATACGATTGATATAGGACAGGAGACAGGGCTTTTCAATAAAAAAGTAGGGCACAGAAACATGAGCGCATTTAGGGAAAAGCAAATTCATACAATATGTGGACAAAATTAGATGGAAATATTAAGTTGAGTCATATGAAATTATAATATTTGATTATTATTTTTTACCCAAAACACTGGCAGTTCCATGTGGATTCACCTAATATACTCAGTGAACAAGCATTTGTGGAGTGCCTGTTTTGCAGGTACAGTCCAAGCACCAAGAATTAGAAATGACACACAGTCTCTACCCTCAGGCTCCTTGTCTATGTGGAGATGGACATGGAAAGCCAGTGAGAGGTCGAATAGGAATTATAACCAAAGTCTTCTGAGTCTTGTCCCTCTCCTGTGCATTAGCTGTGGCATTTACTCTTAATTATTTGGAATGGGGCCTCTAGATGTCACAATCACTTAGTAGTCCTTGAATAAATAAAATATTTAATATTTGATATAACCATGTTGGCTCTATGGAATGCAAACTCATTTTATAATACGCCCTCCTCACTTCTACCCACCTATGCACATAGTAAAGCAGGCCTATAGTCATCCTTTTCTTCTAAGTGTTTCTAAAAATCAAATGATGTGACTTTATATGACTCTAAGATAAAATGGTCTGATTTTACAGATTTCCCTTTTTGTGAGTAATATAAAAATACAGGCTCTTCCTGGGAAGACAGCCATGTCTCATTTCCTATCTGTAAATGCAGTGCTGAAGAAGTGCTACGTGCTTGGCCTTTACCACCAGATCTCCCCACACCAGCCTGTTCTGTAGGGAAACCCATTGAGAACAATAGTAAATAGGTTGTTCAGCGAGTTCCCTGAATTTGCAGTAGCCTCCCCCAAAAAGAGGCTTCTGTAACGATATTTTTGGTTTTAATGAGCGACTGTGTGGCTTATTCAGACATGACTGTGGGAACCAGCCCTGGGGAGAGAAGCGTTCCCGCCATGAACCAGACGGCTAGTGAGCAGGAAAGGTGTTGTTCCTCAGCAATATTCCAGAAGAAAGTTCCTGAACTGAAGGAGGAGGTGAGTACTCATGAGGATGAAGGCCACAAAATTATTTTATTATAGTTTCCTCTCTGGGGCCCCTTATAGAAAAATTAACAAATAGAATTTCTGAGGTTGCTGATTCCTCAGTAAATTACTATTATTTCATTTTTTCTGTGCCTTCCTTTTCTACTTGCTGTTTTCTAGTCATCTTTAAAGCTCCTCAAACTCAGCACAAAGACAAAGAATTCCCTGGTGATTAGTGTGCATCCACATTTATGCATAATGGTCATTTGCTTTTGCCTCTGGGGCATCCTGAATTCATCTCCTCCCCCTTCCCTGTATCTAGGTTGATGCCCAATTCAGCTACTGCTGCCGTTTCTCTTATCTATTGCTTTTTCTGCTTTTTGCTAAAGAAACAAAACAAACCCCTTCCTGAGCCCTTTTCAACTTTGGCACTCTTCTAGCTTGGTGCTTCAGAACTCCTGCCCATGCTGTTGTTGCTGTTTGTCACGTGTAAAATGTTCCTGTCAAGCTTTTCCCTGCCTCCTATGTAGGTTACATTACTCTCTTCCATGGTCTCCCTTGATGTCTAACACCACACACTTATATTGTAAATGAGTGTCTCTTGTGCTCTTCCTCTCCTCCTGCTATTCTGCAAAACCTACCACCGTGTGTCTCACTCTTACCCACTGTCAGTCCCATTGTTCTTTCCGCCCCAGCCACTATCGAGACTTCCATTCTGGACTTCCATGCATTTCTCACACCTACAACTTCATATTCACCAAACCATGTGTTCCTCCATGCTCCTCTGGTGAGGACAGGACATTCTCATGCTCCTTTGATATGCTGGCATATTGACATGTTGAAATAAAGGAAAGGGTCTTGCATTTAGATCCATATTAATACCAAATTAACAACATCTGTATTAAGCGTAATTGCCTCCCTATCTCAATTTCCCCCCAAAATATGTACAAATACATAGAGAACTCTTATTGTATTTATTACTCAGATTTTTGTCACTTTGCACATATATTTGCCATAAAGTTTTTGTGACAGAGACTGCCAACTATCCGCCAGTATACAGTCTCTTTTTCCTCCTTTTGAAGTGGAAGAGTTCCCTGATACCTCTCGCAGGATGTGTGACAGGGGTGTGGCTCACCTGTTCGGTCACCTTACTGCTCAAATCCCTAGCCAGAGTGGGAGCATACGGATGGGCACGTGCAGGGCCCAGGGAGAGCGCTTTTGGGTCTGGCTCCACATTAGTATCTAGGGGTGGGTACCTGCAACCCCAGTACTACAAAGCTCTTTCAGCTTTGCCATTGCAGACAGCTTGAATGTTAATCAGCTCAGTGGACCTGCTGCCTTTTTGCAAGGGCAGAGGGCCAGTGTGACAGCCTTCTTTATCCCAAGCTCTTGCCCAGTGTCCTGGAAGAATCGGTCACACACAAACTTGAGGATGAATGCAAGATTTTATTGACTGGTGGAGGTGGCTCTCAGTGAGATAGATGGGGAGCTGGAAGAAGGGGATGGAATGGGAAGGTGATCTTCCTCTGGAGTTGGGCCGCCCAGCAGCTGGACTCCTTTCTGACTGCCCCCAGCTGAACTTCTCTTGGCATTCAGATGTTCCTCCTCTTCTCTTTTTCTCTGCCGTGTTGTTCCACTGTCCATCATCTGGTCTGCTGGCTTGCTGGTCTGTCCCTGGAGCCTGGGATTCAGGGCTTATATGGGTGCAGGACGGGGGGCATGGCGGACCAAAAGGCAACTTTTGGGGCATAAAAACAGGAATGCCTATTCTCATTTAGGGCTGCAGGATCCAGGCTTGAGGCTGGGGCCTTTGCAGGGAGATCATCCTCTTCTATCCAGTATTTCGCTGTGTCCTGTCCATATCACTTTTTAGTAATGGAACCCTCACTCTGAATTTTAGCAGAGCACATAGCCCAAGGTAGAGACTAAATTTCCCACCCTACCCCTATAGCAAAGTATGGGCCTGTAAATTAGTTCTAGCCAATGGGATATGAGCAAAAGTGATGTGTGTAATTTCAAAGTCACATCTTTTTTAAAGCAAAGTGTTCTTCTTTGCCCACACATCCTGGAACAGCATGTTTGACCTATTGCTGGAAACCAGAAAGGAAAGGTAGACAGAGTCAACCCCTCAGCCTGGGTTTCTGGACTCAGCAAGCACAGCTACCTTTCTACCCCGGACTACTCACCTGTCTCTGGACTGTTGCGTGATAAATCACTTTTATCATATTTAAGCTATTTTGTCTTAGGATCTCTGGGTTCCAGTACTTTAGGTACTACCCCAACTAATATACTGATTTTCCTAGACTCTTTGTCTAATGTCTTCCTTTCAAGTAGGTTGCTTCAGTTCAATGCAACCAACATTTTGTGAAAGCCTTCTATATGCTGAGGCAGCAAGTGGTTCTCCAGATATGGTTCCCAGACAAGCAGCATCAGAGTCTCCTGGGAACTCATTAGACATGCATATCCGCAGACTCCACCCCACACCTACTGAATGAGAAGCTCCAGGAGTAGGGCTCAGTAATCAATTTTAATAAACCCTTCAGGTGATCTAGATGTACAGATGTTTGAGAATCACTGTACTGGGGTGAAGTGAGTCGGGAGCAAGAGGTGGTTGGGGGCAGAGCTAAAAATGAATAAAAACTAGCTTCTATCCTGAAGGAGTTTACATTGGAGAGAGCTACAGATAAATAATGTTATGAAGACAAAATTATTGTCTTAACTTTCTATTTCCTGCTTCCCTTTTTCATCAGATTAACTCATGATAATTTAGCCTAGATTGTTTTAGTTTTTATATGTGATTATTTATAAACAGCCTAAAATTTTAGGCCATTTGGGTCTATGCAAATCCCAAAAGGGGAAATAATTGAAGTTACATTGGTAGATAGGGTGAATAGAGATTAGATCACCAATATTCAAATCTTAGAATCAATGAGGATTTACTGAAACTAAGAATAGGGTGTTATTTTTTACAGTGGGTAGTAAAATTACAGTACTTATTACCTTGTAAAGGGTTATATGGCCTAGAAATAAAAACAGTTGAGCATGGATTAGATTTATGAGGGAGAAAGTCATAAAATTCCAATAAGCATGAGTTAGGAATGTTCAAATTATTTCTGAAAATGTCTGACATCAATATCGTAGAAGGAAACTACCATCTTTGCTGTCACCACCTCTTATTATAATCTTCAGTGTTCAGAACACTAGTCTAGACCAGACTAAACCAATGTGGTATTGGTTGTGGGCTGACAAGTAGACTGTGTGAGAATAAAGACTCTTGTACCTAATGTGTTTTGTATAAAACCTGTGCACACTTCAGATTTGAAAGGTAGAGAAAATAAGGGAGACAATGGATGCAACTCATAAAAGAAAATAATTATGGTTTGAGATTAAAGCCAGTTTGCCATTATTCTTACTAACAAGAGACAACCGAGATAATTGAAATCTGTAGATAATCTAAAACCTAAATAAAATATTATTATTACTATACACAGCAAACTAACCTACTGTCTTTGGCATAGGAGCCAAATACTTCGGACAATGCTAACACGATGAAGAAGAATTAGCACATTCAAAATCTAGCCAAACTTGGGACTTCAGTGAATCTATAATAGGTTCTTTGTCAAAATGAAGACATGGCAGTTAGCATTGCCCTACTTCCCCCAAATTATGTGACTCTTTAAAAAAAGGGTTGAATTTCCCCACCTGCTGTTAGAAACACAAAAGTCTTTCTGCATAGCTGCTAAAAAGTATTTTAGCTTTGGCTCATACATTTTTTAAAATCTTGCAGTGTCTTTAAACTACTATCAGTTTGGTAAGATACAGCCACTTTATCTCTTTTTCTCCCTTCTTTTTTCTTTTAAGAATTCTTCATCCGTCTTCTTTCCAAAAATACTGTGAGTCAGGATTTCAATTCCAAATAATTTGGAATCAAAAGTATTCAACAGTCTGGAGGCAAATGAGGTTTTTATTGCATTTTTATTGAGAGCAAATTGAACTGTGTGGGCAGGCTAGAGAGGGGCTCCTCTGTAAGGCTTCAGCATGCCCCACTGTTGCACTCAGCAAAGACTCATGTTACAAGAATTACATCTGTGATCTGCTTTTATTGACTGGCTGGGCCCAACAGGCCCCTGGGCATTGCCAGACAAGTTAATTCCTTCTTGAGCCTCAGGAACCTTCCACAGGAGGGCTTACATGGCTCCCACAGGTCTCTGTCTTTCTTCTTATAACTTTCAAATATTTTCCTAATATGAAGAAGTGTTTGGTAAACTATAACCGTATTTCATCTTCACAAACCTCTATAATACATAAGAATTACTGTCCCCATTTTACAGACAAGTTTTCCCTGAGTACTTTGTTACCAACTTATATTTTTTTTGCAGTTGAAATTTGTACCATAAATTACTACCCTTTTTAAAAACTCTTATGTGTTCTTATTTGTAAGTGTCTTGGAATATATATTGTTGCAAAAAGATTGAGGGCTTTTATGCATGTTTTTGTTTTTGCAAATTACTCCAATATGAATCACAACACTTGAGCACAGAGTAAATGCTACATTAGTGCTTACTGATGGAAAACAACCCTGATAAGAGAGAAGTTAGAGGCTGCGCATTCAAATGGCTTCACGGGAGAGGTAAGTATGTAAATCCATTAGATCATTTTACAAATACTTATTCAGTGCTTATTATATGCCATGCACTGTTCTAGTCACTGGGTGTACAGCAGTGAACAAAAAAAGACAAAAATCCCTGCCCTCTTTGAATTGACATTGTAGTGGTGAGATACAGACCATAAACCAGCCAGGAAAGGCAGGTTACCAGGTGATGAGTGCTATGTAGAAATAGAAAAAAAATGGAGATGGAGCATTATGAACTGAATTGTGTTCTCCCCAAATTTACATATTGAGGTCCTCGTCCCCAGGATGTCAGAATGTGACTCTTTTGGAAGATGGGTGCCTTAAAGAGATAATTAAGTTAAAATGAGACCATTAGGGTATATATCCTAACCCAATTGGATTTATAAGCAGAGGGGATTAGGACACACAGACAGACACCAGGAGAAAAGACCATGCGGGGACATGGCATGAGGGTGGCCATCCACAAAGTCAAGAAGAGCGGCCTCAGAAGAAGTGAAACCTACCAGACCTTAATCTCAGCATTCTAGCCTCCACAACTGTGAGAAAATAAATTCCTGTTTAAGACACGAGTCTGTGGTATTTCATTATGGCAGCCCTACCAAACGAATACAGGGTGCTTGTTTTAATAGAGTTTCAAAGGATGGTTTCATTTAAGCAGAAGACTGAATGAAGTGAGAAATAAAGCAATGTGATAAGTGAGGGAAAACCAGTCCAGGCAGAGGGAACATCAAATGCAAAGGTCTTGAAGCAGAAGCATGCTTGACTTGTTTAAAGAGCAGCAAGGAGACCAATGTGGCTAGAGTCAGGTAAATGAGAGGGAAAGTGGTAGAGAGGTCAGAATGCTGATGGGTTCAAAATGTTGATGGGGGTCAAGGCTTTCCAGGCCATGGTAAGGATTTTGGCTTTTACTCTAGGGAAGTGGGATTGGGAAGTCATTGTGGGTTTAAGTTATAAAAGGTTCATGTTCGCTATTATGTTAAGAAATAGACTACAAGGGTCAGAGATGGATGTGGGAAGACTAGTTAGGTGACTATTTTAATCGACCATGCAGAAGGGAAGGCTTGGAGTAGAATAATAGAGATGGAAGTGGTAAGGCATGGTAAGTTTTGGGATACCTTTTAAGGTAGAGCTGACAAAATTTGCTGATTGGTTGTGATATTTGAGAGAAAAAAATAAGTCAATGATAATTTAAAGGTTTTTGACATGAGAAGTTAAAAGAATAGATTTTCCATTTACTGAGATGGGAAAGACTGTAGAAGGAACAGATATGGACAGGTTAGGAGTTTGGTTTTGGACTTTTGGAGATATTAATTCATTAGTTGTCTGCTTGAAAGTAGAAGTTAGCCAGGCATGGTAGCTCACATCTGTAATCCCAGTGCTTTGTGAAGCCAAGGAAGGGAAGTTTCTTGAGCCCTGGAGTTTGAGACCAGCCTGAGCAACATAGTGAGACCCCCATCTCTATAAAAAATAAAATAAAAAAATAAAGTAGGCAGGCATGGTGGCACATGCCTGTAGGCCCAGCTACTCAGGAGGCCTAAGTGGGAGGATCAATTGAGCCTGGGAGGTTGAGGCTGCAGTGAGCCATGATTGTGCCTCTGCACTCCAGCCTGGGCAAGAGTAACAGCCTGTCTTAAAATATAATTAATATAAATAAAAGTAGAAGTCAGAGAGTGGTCCAGGCTAATTAATGAATGAATTTCAAAGTCATTAATATATAGATAGAATTTAAAGTCAGGAGTCTTGATGAAATCTCTAAATGAGTGAGCATGGACCGGGAAAAGAGGAGGTCCAAAGATTGATCCTGTTTAGAGGTAGAGAAATGAGAAAACATGCAGCAAAGAGCCTGAGGAAAGAAGCACAATATGACAAAAGGAAAAGCAGGGTAGAGCTTTGATTGCCCTGAAAGCCATGTAGAAAAGCTATCTTCAGGAAAAAGACTAGTCTATGTCAAGTACGGTGAGGACTGAAAAAGGATCACTGGATTTAGCAATGTGTGGGTCATTGGTGACCTTGATTAAAGGAGTTTGGGTGGATAGAGGGGTAAAAAGTCTACCTGAATATATTTAAAAGGAAATGGAAGGAGAAAAATTGGAGACAGTGTTCTTAACAACCCTTTCGAGGACTACTGCTGTAAAAGGAAGCAGAAAAATGCAATAGTATGACAGTGATATGGAATCAAAAGAGGGTTTTGTTACTGTCTTAGTTCATTTTTTGTTGCTATAACAGAATACCCAAGACAGGGCAATTCATAATAAAACAGGTTTATGTAGCTCATAGTTCTAGAGGCTGGGAAGTTCATGATGAGGTAGCCGCATTTGGCAGCTTTTGGTGAGGGCCTCATTCATGTCATGTCAAAACATGGTGGAGAAATGGAAAAGGAATTGGGCTTGTGGAAAAAAGGACAAAGCATTAGAGGCCACCTCACTTTATAACAACCCACTCTTCTCTCTCAGGAGCTAATCCATTCCTGCAAAAACTAATCCATTCCAAAAAACAAAACAAACAAACAAAAAAACAAAAAAAAAAAACACTCTTGTCTGGCAAGAAAGACATTAATCTGCCTTAAATACTTAATCATGTCTTGAAGGCCCCAACTCCTAACACCATTACGTTGGCAATTAAATTTCATCATGAGTTTAGGAGGGAAGAAACCACATCAAAACCATAGCAGTTACTTTTTAGAATGAGAAAAATAATTGCATATTTGGATGGGAATGATCCAGTAGAGAGGGAGAATTTGATGACTGAGAAGTTAGAGAGGACAATTACTGAAGGAATGTCCCTGAGTAAGTATGAAGGAATGGGATCCAACCTGTTCACATGTAGACAGGATTTAGATGGGAGACCAAAGAAGAGAGAAGGAAGATATATAGACACAGAAGCAGATGGATTTTTACATGTGGTTAAAAAAAAAAAAAAAAAGCAAGAAGAAGTTCTCTTTGTTGCTTCAGTTTTGTCAGTGAAATAGGAATCAAGGTCCTCAGCAGAGGATTGAGATGAGGGAGGATGTGTTGGAAGTTTAAGGAGAGAGGAGTAGGAGGTGTGAAATAGTCATCTAGGGAAGAGGGAAATGTAGTAGAACTGCCAGGCAACATTTAAGGGCTCTCTTGAGGCTAAGGGACATGAATTCACAATGAGAGCAGTCAGCACAGTTGATTGTTTTGTTCCAACCACATTCCACTGTGTGGGTGTAGGTGGAGACAGAATGTAGATAGAAGTGGATTTAACCTAGAGCTGGGCTTCGCCAGGTGATCACAACAATGGACAAAGAGGTAAAGGACCTGAGTACATATGCCGGATGCCAGGGTGTGAGTAAGGGTCATGGCATTCACACAGGGCAAGGCGGGAGGTGAGGATGTGAGGGGTGTGGAGATGTAGAACGATGATAAAAATCAGTTGATTGAAGGTCCTGGTGGTGTCAACAAATTGAGGGAGTGAACTGGAAAGACAAGCAATGTGGGTCAGAGCTTGAAATTAAGATTGTGGGGGTTCAACTCTTGGTAATGACAAAGATGAAGATACGGCCCAAGGAATGACTGTTGATATAGAGTGGAAAACATAATCCCTGGAAGAGAGAAGGTCAAGAGTCTAGGGTATTATAAAGATCATTTACTTCAATGTGAAACCACAAAAACTACGCTGGGAGAAGCACTAGAGACAATGATAATGATCCAGGAATAAAGTCTTCAAGAAATGAGGGGGAGTGGTCTTGGGAGTCTGTAGACTGATAGCATCATTTCCAAAACCTGGGGCAGCAGGGAAATTAGGGAGGAGAAAGGGATAATGACCTGGAAGTATCAATAAGGAGCAAAGAGGACAATTTCTTTACCACCAGCTGCCAGTATTGTGTGTAGGCTGGAGCACAAGATTCCCCACAATTCCAGCACCAGCTAGGTAGCAGGCCTGAGCTGTGTCATGAGTGTGGAGTTTTTCTGTGGTCAGTACTTTGGAAGATTATGTTGGGGCCATTCAGAAACCTGTGGTTGGCCATGGGGCTGTAATTTCCTAAACTACAAATGCTCTTTCATCATTGAAGTCATCAGTAAACTTTCATAATTCCACTGTTTAGCCCTACTAGTCTGATTTCTAGTCAAACACATTCATTTTTGTTTTTGTTGTTGTTGTTGTTGTTGTATTTGAGAGGGAAGATGAGTAAGGAAGGGACTCACAGCTAATTTAATTATTCTTGAGAACTTCCTTAGAATATCTCAGAAACTTCCAGATAGGGCTGCTGTCCTAGAACAAGCTCTCTCTCAAATAAGGAGACCCAGAATATCTGGGAGTCCCCAGGCAGACAAAATGCCTCTAGGAATCTGCTCTGATTTCCTTTAGCAGCTTTGTTCCCAAGGTCTGCAACCACTGGATGTAGTTGGGACTGGCCCACAGTTGCTTTAGGCCACCATTTTGCTTGCTGTGTGTTCCACCTCAGTAATACCACTAAAATGACACCATTTCTCTAAGCAAAGATGCTATTCTGCTCTGGATACTCCCAGTTTTTAGAGTTAATTCCTCAGCATGAGCAGCTTTGATTTCCCAGAGCGCACCCACATTAGCCAGCAAGAAGAAAAGAGCATTGAAGTAAGTGATGATGCAGAATCCTTCAAGTCATTTCCAAAAGAGGCATTCCAGAAATGTTTTGAGCAATCATTTATATAAGATATAGAATCCCAAGGTAATTTCGTAGAGGAACAACTCTCATTCATTATAAGTTGTGGCATTTTAAAAGATACATCAGCCCCATTACTCTCTACACAATTTCAATCCTTTAATTCTTTAAAATTTCTTACCTTCTCAAAAGAAAGAGCCCTGCCTAGTGACAGCTGCTATTCACCATTACAGGTAGCATGTATGGCTGAGACAGAAAATACTTCTGATTTTGTGGATTTTGGATCAAACCCAGCATTGTGTGCCTTCTAATTTAGTCAACATTCAATTCAGCTATAGGGGGGGTTTAACATGCTAAAGCAGAAATGTAATAAATAATCAAAAGGTGAAGTAGTCATTGCTAAGAAGGCCAGCATTCCATATTACACTTTACATCCTAGGTGCAAGGTGCTATTGAGATGGCAATTCAAGAACGCAGAAGTCATTATAGTTGGAAAGCCATAACTTGATCTCCAGTGCCTATGTTTGTGATGGGGAAATTTTCAACAAAAAACAAAAAAGAGGGGAAAATAGAATGCTCCTTGAAAACATATTCTATGTCTTATTACACAGTCTGGCACAGGCACATAAGACCACATGATGCCTTGGCTCCTATGGGAAAATCCAATTGATTGGCATTCCTTTTCCAAAAACATAAACTTCTGTGAAGATATATTAAGGCTGTCTCTTTCCTGATTCTCTCTGACCAAGTAGAATACATTTATAGGAAAGGGTATCATGGATGTGCTTGGAATAAGGCCAAACTAGTGCCCAAGTGGATAGAACCTCTGTGATGATCTCATTAGCATCCACACGAACTGACTGCTAACCAGTCATCATGGCTTACAACAGTGCAGCTCAACTCATCCCCTTTTCTATGCTCTCATATCCTAATAAGGTAAGATCAGGAGGGAAAAGTGGT